TGCCCCAGCCCTCCTCTTCCTCAACATGGGGGTGAAGGAAGGAGGTGGGGCTGCCCCTGGCACTGGTGGGGAGGCACAGGAGTTCGGTTCCCTACGGGGGTGATGGTGGTCAAGGAGTGGGTAGTGCTGAGGGGGGTGGGCAGCCTGTGCACTGGGGTCCCCCCCTCCCAGCTCAGCTCTGTCCCAAAGCTTGGGGCTGAGTGCCTGGGAGTTTTCATCTCCACAGCTGTAAACACAGCTTGGGCAGGTGGGGGCTGCAACCCCCCCACTCTGATAAGGACCTCTGGCTCTCGCCCCCCAGCCTCTGAAGCTGCCTCCTGTGCTGTGGGGTGCTGCTCTCCATGGAGAGATGCTGACCACAGACTGATGCTCTCCATGGAGTGATGCTCCATGGCTCCTCCTTGTCCCCCAGAACTCTTAAGGCTGTTGCTGGGGAGGGGAAAATTCATCACTCGTGAAAGCCCGAACCACCTTGCACGGTGGGGACAGGGCAGGTTTGATGCCCGACCTCCTGTCTTGTGCTGGAAGCTTCTTTGGAGGCAGAGCTCCTGCTTGGGTGGTGCTCAGCTGTTGAGTTCAGCATGGCAGGGTGCTTGCTGGTGGAGATGGGACTGCTCAGATCAGCCCTGGATGGGCAGAGGTTGCTGTGAGACCCTGTCACCTCATCTGGGACCTCGTAGCTCATGGTTTGTCTTTTTCCCTTCTGGGAGCAGAAGCAGCTCAGAGAGCAAAGGCTCCTGGCATTCCCATCTGGTTCATGCAGCAGACAGGATGGATGTAGGTGGCTTAGGTCAACCCAGGGGGTCTGTCCTACCCAGAACTGGGGTCCAGGGCATGGAAGGGGGAGAAAAACAGCATTAAAAGGGCCCTTGAAGGTTGTTTCTTAAGCTCTGCCATGTTCCTACTTCCCTCCTGCACACACACACACAGACACACACACAGGTCCAGCATTTCCTCCTAAATCCCAACAACCCCATTTCCTCCCTCTCTGCTTTGATGTGGGGTGTTTCCACGTGGATCCTGGTGAGATTTGGGTTTGAAGAGGTGAACTGGCCATGCCTGCTGGTCCCCGGGCAGCGCGTGCATGGGGCACCAGCGTGGGAAGGACGAGCAGCCGCGCCGCACGTGACGGGAACCGGCCGGGCCATGAATGGGGGGCAGAAGCTCCATTCATAAACGCAGGGTCCTGCTGCCGCCGCGCAGGCGTTTGGCGCCGGCTCTGCTGGGAATCCCCAGCCCTCCTGGAGCTGCTCCTCCCTCTGCCAGCAAATCCCCCTTAACTCTTTGCTCCTGCTCGTTTGGGCTCCGCTAACGAAGCGGAGCGAAGGTCCCGCTTGGAGTTGCTGTTGGGATGCAGGGCTGGGCATGGCAGCACTTGGTGGCACAGGAGGGGCAAGAGATGTTGGTTGCACCACCTGGCTCAGCTTCTCATGGATTTGTGCCACTGGAATGGGCAGGGCTCTTGGAAGTGGAGGGGGCTTGTCTTATCATCTCACAAACCCTCTCCCCAGCCTGAGTTTGAGCTCCTGTGTGTGACTGCACGGTGATAAGCAATGTGGCAATCCTGGGAGGGACGGGAGATGCTCCCTGCAGTGACAATCTGGGGCCAAATGGCTGCTTAATTAAGTATTGGTGGCAATTAAAGGGCTTGAACTGAGGTGAGCTGCAGTGCAGCAGCTGCTGGGACCCTGGGCTGGCAGGGCCAACCTCCTGGCCTTGCTGTGGGTCCTGCTGTGAGTGGGGCTGCATGTGTCTGTGCAGAGCCTCCAGATCCTGCATGTGTCTGTGCAAAGACTCCAGATCCTTTTGTCTCATTAAAATGATCTTTTGGATCTCTTGGTGAGCATCCCCAGCTCAGAGAGTTGAGAGGTGCAGGGGCAGCTCTGGCTCCCTGGTCTGGGGTGTCAAACTCTGTGTTATCAAATGGGGCTCTAGGGGGGGTTAAAGGTACCTGGTTGAGCTTGGTCCCCAATATCCATCCCCTTACTAGGGGACAGTGGCAGCTCTTGTGCCATGAGAGGTGTTTGCTGGGCTGGGGCTTGTTGTGTGCCCAGCAGAGGGGACACACCAGCTCAGTGCAGACCCCCCTGGTTTGGTGCTGACCCCCTTTTCCCCTTGCCCCCCCCCAGAGCAAGCTCCACATGGAGGGTTTCCGCAGCCTGAAGGAGGGTGAAGCTGTCGAGTTCACCTTCAAGAAATCATCCAAAGGTTTGGAGTCCATCCGAGTGACTGGCCCTGGGGGTGTTTTCTGCATCGGCAGCGAGAGGAGACCCAAGGGCAAGAGCCTCCAGAAACGCAGATCAAAAGGAGACCGGTAAGAGGTGGTCGGGGCCTGATCCAGAGCAGGGTCCTGTGGGCACCAGGAGCTGCTGGACACCCTGCCCACGGCGTGGGGACAGGAGCGGCCCCGGCAGCAGCCCCTCCTCTGGGAAAGCGGCTTCCCTCGGTGGTTAATGAGTGGCAGATGCAGCCTGGTGGGGAAAGGGCAGCGAAGCAGCAGAGAGGGCAGAGGTCAGGGACACCCCGGGCGGCTGCTCCCCTGGGCTGGGGCAGCCATGCTGGGCAGAAGTCATTTTCTGGAAGAGAAACCTTTCCTTGTGGGAAGGAAATGGCCGGACGTCCTGGCAGCGGCTCCCACGGTGAGGTTGGGAGCCCCCGGGCGAGTTTCTGGCCAGGCCTTTGTCCCCCATCTCCTCTCCCATCCTCTCCATCCTGGCTTCCCCAGGGATGCCTTGTCCTGGTGTTCCCAGCTGCTGCTGCCCATCCCACCCGGCTGCTCTCACAAGTGGGTTTTTGGAATTAGTCTGAAAGGAACTGGGAAGGAAAAGGGAAAAGGCTTGTGGTCCCCCAAGGTGGGTGCAGGATTTAAAATGGACACCAGGCAGCTCCCTCTGCCCACACTGCTCCAGTGCAAGGGTCCAGCTCTGAGAGAAGCCACCTTTGGGATTGTCCCCACACTGGCGGCCACAGTCTCTGTGACCCTTCTTCCTGCTGGGGCTGTCAGGCATCCCACTGCCTGTTCCTGCCCTGCTGCAGGTTTTTGTAACCTGGGATGTGGATGGAGCCAGAGGGGTGGAAGCCCTACCCATTACACCTCTCCCAGTTTGTCCCCAGCACATGGTTTGGGCGCAGGGGTTTGCTGCCATCTCCTGGGTGGTGCTGTGCCAACTGAGCCAGATCTAAACTGGCCACACTGGGGCTCACAGGGACCAAACCCAGTGCCACCACCTGCCCCAAAAATCCAACCCCACATCCCGGCAGCAGCCGAGCCATTTTAAACCCTGCCCTGGAAGCCCCATCCCTGGCAGTGTTGAAGGGCAGGTTGGATGGGGCTTGGAGCAGCCTGGGCTGGTGGGAGGTGTCCCTGCCCATGCAGGGGGTTGGGACTGGATGATCTTGAAGGTCCCTTCCAACCCAAACCATTCCATGATTCAGTGAAACCCAGCTCTGGCTACGAAACCAGCTGGCTCCCAGCCATGGCAACATCCCACCTCATTATTTATTTATTTATTTTCTCCTCCTTGAACCTTTCTCCTCCCCTTGGCAGATGCTACAACTGTGGTGGGCTGGACCACCATGCCAAGGAGTGCAAGCTCCCACCACAGCCCAAGAAGTGCCACTTCTGCCAGAGCATCAGCCACATGGTCGCCAACTGCCCCGTGAAAGCACAGCAGTCCCCCAGCTCCCAGGGAAAACCTGCCTACTTCCGAGAGGAGGAGGACATGCACAGCTCAGCCCTCCTCCCCGAAACCCGGGAATGATGGCAGCTGGCAGGGACAGGGGGGTTTCCACCGGGATGAAAAGGCTTTGGCAAGGCAAGGGACAGCTGTGGGGGCTGGGAGGAGGGAGGGCAGGGTGAAGGGCTGGGGAGGGAGGATGGCAGTGTTGGTGGCAGGGACCTGGTGTCCCTGCACAGACCTTTTTCCCTCTGTTCCCAGCCCTGGGAAAGCCCTGCTTTAATCAGGATGGCTCACTCCAAAAACAGGGGGAGAGGCAGCAGCCAATGCACCTCTTCCAGCTTAAAAAAAACCCACACCCATATTTGATTAATTTTTCTTGTTTTCCTAAAGGAAGCCAGGCAGTAGCATCTCTGGGAGGAGGAGCAGAGAAACAACATCTCAGGGAGGAGCTCATGGCTCCGTGTCCTCCTGAGCTTCAAACAGGCTGTGGCACAGCCTGGGAGAGCCACGGGGAACCTGCTCCTGTGCCTGCCTGGGCCTTGGAGGGATGAGACAGGGAGGGAAGAGGGAGAACTGGCTGCAGAGCCACGGACACGCTGTGGGAGCTGCTGGGAGGATCTGCAGTTGTCCTGTGGTTGCCCTGTTGCTGAAACCAGCAGAGCCCAGATTTGGGCTCAGTCTGGAAAGAAATGGTGCACCTCTCCTGGCTGGGCTAACACTTGTCATCTGCTCGTGGGCTTGGGGGAGATCAAGTTAAAAGAAAATTACTTTTTAGGTTTTTTTCCCCCCCCTAAGCCTGCCCAAGTGCCAGCCCAGAGAGCACAAGGTGTTGCATGCAGCCAGCTTTTCCCCCCTTCAGTCTTCTCCCTGCCTCCAAATTGTGGAGTCAGGGAGTGGGAAGGCTCCACAGAGTGGGGATCCTCTTTGTTAAGCCTTGGGTGCCGGGCACTGGGCAGAGCTGACTCCCAGGGATGTTGCTGGCAGCATTTCCCTTGGATCCTGTGTGCCCAGATCCAACTTGTGGCTTGATCCAGACACCAGCCTGAGCCTTCCTGTGGGCTCTGGATCAAACCCATACTGGACAAAACCAGCACATCTGCTCCTTGCACCCACCCCACGCTCCAGAAACCAACGGCTCCTGTGCTGAGCCTCCCCAGGGGGGCAGAGGAAAAGTTTCCCCCAGCTCTTTAGTGGCTGCTGCCCCTGCTCCCCACCAGCCCCCCCAAGTCTTGCCTTTATTTATTGGCCCTGGTGGAAACCCCTTCTCCCAGGGCAGCCCCCCCACCCGTGCCAAAGCCAATGCCAAGTGAAACCTGCACTAGGACGTGCGTGAATGACGTATCTTTGGGTTTGTTTGTCTTTGTTTTGGGTTGGTTTTGGTTTTATTTTTGTCTTTTTTTTTTTTTAATATAAATATTCTGGTTTTGTATTTTTGTATATTTTAATCTTTAAGGAAAAGAAAAAAAAAAAAAGAGAGAGAGAAAGGACATAATTCCTGCAACTTATTCTCAGGTATTCGAGCAATCTCAGGGATAAAATGCCTCTGTAGCTGGACAGAGAGGAGGGTTTTCTTCTAACAGCACAAAGATGTGATGAAGTTTGTACTGGAAGTGTAGATCTACCTCACTGGATGTTTGCCAGGTGGACTGACGTGTTGTTGAGCTTTTTTGGTTGTGTTGGGTTTGGTTGTTGGGGGTTTTTTTGTATGTTCAGGGTTTGTTTTCTTTTCAACTATGTTTTCATAGAGTCTCTTTCCCATCCCCACTGGTCTGAGGAGGAGTTTGGGTCTGTAGATCTGTGTAGTCTCCCTAGAGGGACAGAGAAGCCAGGCAGTGCCACAGGGCAGGGAACAGCTGCTAGAGCCCACATTGGCTCCTCAACTCCAGATTTTCTCCCAGCCTGGTGGCTTTTGAGGACTGTCCTCCATTTCTCTCTCCTGCTTATGCTCACACGTCCCCTCCCTGGTGGGAACACTCCAGTCTGCCCCATGCCAGAGTCTTCCCTGTCATCACCCATGGGCTGGGATGTCACACAGGCTCCCAGCAGGATGGTGCCCAGTGGCTGGGGGTCAGAAAGCCAGGATGGGGGTCCCAACCTGTTCAGGGGGACAGTGGCTGGAGAGCTTGTTGGGGGACTTGAGGGTTATCTCAAGACCCTATCCCAACTCACCCTCCAGCAAAGGGCTGGCTCTGGCCTCCTGGGACGAGGGACCCAAGGTGGACTCAAGTCCAAAGGAGGTGCAACTGCGCCATCTTCCTTCTCCCTTCCCGGCTTTCCCCAGATGCTGGTTCCTGATGACCTGGGGAAACTCTGGAGCCCTGGTTTTGGGGCATCAACACTCCACTTTGCAGCCCAGGGGCTGGCTGGAGCCTTCCCAGGGAAGGCTCATCTCACCATGCTGGTGTGTCAGGAGGTGGGCACAGTTTCTGCTGTTTTTTAGGTAGGGGTAGGTTTAGATGTAGTGCAGGGCTGGAACAGCGGGGAAGCAGCTTCTCCAGCCTCTCTGGTGGGACTTTCAGAGCCTGCTGGAGCCCTGTGTGTCCCCCTGAAGCTTCACAGACCCCAGGCCAAGGGGGATGCAGAGCAGCTCCCTCACTGCTCTTCCCTGCTCCGGTAGTTTTTATGGTGAGGTGGTGGTGATCTCTTCTGGGGTGGGGTGGGGGGGAGAGAAGGACTTTTAGGTCATGATTAGCCATGGGATCGATACAAAACTACTTCAGGAAAACGGCTTGTTGGGTAAATGCAATAGAGCACACTGGGCTGCACTTCTCAGCCTGGGCTCTTGGCTCCCCCCCTGGCACCTCGGTGGTGCTGGGGGACACTTGCTGCCCCCCCTCATTCCTGTATCTTGTCTTGAAGAAGGAGCTTTCCCCCCAGTTTGATGGCTTTTTTAAAATTTATTTTTATTTTTGTTTCTTTTTTTAATATTTTTTTTCTGCTAGGTGTGTGTAAATACCTCTGTAAATCTTTTCCATTTTTCTCTCAGTATTCTCCTTGATTATTGTTTACAAAAGTAAGAGGAGGGGAAAAAAAAATAAAAAAAAATAATAAAAAAAAATAGCCAAAGCATCTAAGAGGTGATAGACCAGGGAGACAGGATGTTCTCTGTGTACTCTGCCTCACAGCTCAGCGTGGGGATATGAGCTCTGAGACCATCCCTGTCCCAGGCTAAAACAAAAGAGCAAAGGGCTTAGAAAAATCACTCAGGTTTCCCCCGGGGGGCCAACGTGGTACCGGGATCCAAGCAAAACAGGGACTTCTTATCTGCAAAGGGAAGGCCACGTGGGCAGGGAAGATGGGATTGATTCTCATCTTCTCCTTGGGTTTGCCATGGTGGTTCTCTTGCCATGGTGGTTCTCTCTCTTGCCATGGTGGTTCTCTTGCCATGGTGGTTCTCTCTCTTGCCATGGTGGTTCTCTCTCTTGCCATGGTGGTTCTCTCTCTTGCCATGGTGGTTCTCTCTCTTGCCATGGTGGTTCTCTCTCTTGCCATGGTGGTTCTCTCTCTTGCCATGGTGGTTCTCTTGCTATGGTGGTTCTCTCTCTTGCTATGGTGGTTCTCTCTCTTGCTATGGTGGTTCTCTCTCTTGCCATGGTGGTTCTCTCTCTTGCCATGGTGGTTCTCTTGCCATGGTGGTTCTTCCCAGTTACCTTGCTAATAATTAACTGTCAGTGGCTGCACTGTCACCCACGGGGCACTATGCATGGGGCGGGGGGGGGAGCTGCACACACTCAGGGTCCTGCTCTGGCACGGGAGCGTTTGAATGTATGAGGAGAAGCCTCAGGAGGGGGTAGGGGGGTCTGCGTGTCCCCTGGTGCCAAAGCCTCAAGAAGTCACAAGATTGTCTACGAGGAGACGGAAGAATGTAAATCCATGTTTACTGCTAGCAACCAAAGCTTGTTCGTGTCAAACTCGTGAATTTTTATGAAGTTGGGTGGGAGGGAATGATCCAGGAGGGGGAGGGGGGGGGAGGGGGGTTTGTGGGGCTCTGGGGTTACCCCCCGAGCTGTGCTTTCCAAAGAGATTTCCTGTGGGATTCCCTGCAGCCACATCCTCAGTTCCTGTTGCTGCAGGTTTTCCCCCCTCCTTTATGATTTTTTTTTAAATATTTTTTGTTGTTCGTTGTTGTTTAATTTTTGTACCAACTATGTAAAATGTGGTGTGTTTGTTTGTTTTATTTTTTCTTTCCTGGAAAAAAACCCAATAAAATAATAAAGACCGTGGGCAACGGCTGCTGGTGACGTTGTGTGTGTGCAGTGACTCTTTTTACCTCTTCCCCTGAGGTTCAGGGACCAA